ATGAACAGTAATATGCAGATAAGCGGAATAATAGAGACATCTATAACAAACCATTGAGCATAATTTAAGTTGCCAACCTTAATACTGAATAGTATCTTAAATTGCATAATTTATATCATATCAAACTTTATTAACATATAGAATTCTTGTAGCACACAACTCACTGTATTTTACAAACTATTGAACAGAAAAGCAGAAAGTGAAAAAACACGGAAATCAAAACTACTTACTGGGTGCATATACAGTAACTGGAAAATAACTTCCAGTGGTGTGGACAGTATGAAGGTAAAGAAGTAATATTGCAATCCCACATATTGAGAGAGTATTGAAGCTATGAGGTCAAGATAGCTTGCTGATATTGAAGTAATGAAGAGAGAGAGATGGAGCAAAACCTATTACTGGGAAAGAAGACAATAATTCTGAGAAGAAGAGGGAAGGTACTACCTGAGACCTTCTGATGACTTCGGAAGGATGGTAGAAGAGGAAACTAGAAGAGAGAGAGAAAGCAGAGAGAAAAGAAGAGAGAACTCGGACCTCTGAGCGACCTCGAGAGTGACCTTGGGACTGGAGAGCAACCTCCGGAACTAACTTGGGAGCGACCTCCCTTAATGAGAAGGAGGAGGTCTTCTTATATAGAGAGGCTTCCTTCGTCTCGAAGCAAAGGAGAGGAGAAGAGACGTAAAGGTAAAGCAAAAGGAGACTAGACGTAAAGGTGAGTGACATGACATAAAGGAATAAAAACGACAAAAAGAGATACTTTTAAAAGCTTTTGCTACAGTGATTTTTTTGTCTTTTATGCTAATGGCCACAGTGTAAGCATCTTGCACAGTGCTTTTCTTGTCTTGTTGTGTCGGTGCTACAGTTCCTTTCTTGTCTTGTTTTGTCGGTGCAGAATCTCTGTATAGTGTTTTGTCGGTGGGATGTCGGTGATGAGATTGGAAGGGAATCTTCTTTTGTTGGTATTCGTCAGTGTGGTACTATTGACAGCATTGGTGATATTGACAGTATCGGTGATTGAGTATTGCAGGAATATTCTTTATGGTCTCTGACTGAATTCATCCGGATCATCTTCTTCGGGATCAGTTTCTTCTTCCGGATCTTCCATAGGGAGATTGAGATATTGATTGGTATGTAAGGGAGATGATTGTACCGTTTCTTCAGAGGAGACTGGCTTTCTCCCTGCTTCGGCAAATATTTCTTTCATCTGTTTTTCTAATGTTTCTTTGGAGGCATTAGGGTTTGATTGAAGCGTATTTCTTAAGTATGTGGGAAAGTCAAATGAAGTATTGGCTGTATTCTGGCTTTGTGGTTTTTCAAGGGTTTTCTGGGGTATTCTTTTTGGAGTTAGTGATGTTGGGTCCATATTGAATATGTCCCACCACTTAACAGAAAATGGTCTTTCCAAGTCTAGGGATATATGAGTAATCAGAGGTGGTATCAGGGGAGATGGAATACTCCCATTTCATTATTCAAGGTATTTGGTATAAGGCCATGAAATAAAGGTGAATGTCTATGGTATTATCAATCTGGTTGTATTCTTGGAATTTTTCCTGCACTGTTTTGAAAGCAGGAGGTAAAATTTGAGAAGTTGAACCCCACACGAAAAACCAGTTTTTAAACCAGGTGGGGAATCTTTCGAAAACAGGTAGTCTAAACTGGATGTACCAGCTATGAGTATAATTAGGATTTTGATAATAGAAAAATTTATGCCATGCCTCAATGTATTCGGCATACTTGAAATATTTATATGAAAACTCTGGGTTATGAAGTTTTTTCCCATGCGCGGGATTACAACCCCACTCTTCATAGGAAAGTAGCTTTTTAATTTGGACCTTAGAATATACAATGGTCCTTGTATTCTGTTGATAGTAATGGACAACAGATATGGATCCTGTTTCCATCAATAGAATTAATACCTCATATAGTAGAACAAAAAAGACAAAAAAAGACAAAAAAAGACAAAAAGAAGTCGACAGATGACATGTGCCGTACGACAGAAGATGCCTTCCGTATTATATGGCCGACAAAAGATATTTTTACTTTTTCTTTAAGTTATGTCATGTACAAAAGTTACTTTTACTTTTTCCTTTAGTCGTGTCAAGTCATGTCATGTCTCTTTCACCCTTTATCTTTAAGTCATATCTGACTTTAAATATTCTTTTCTATCTCTTTTAAATCTCACCCACCTTGCCAGCTCACCTCTGCGAGTGCGATGCCAGCTCACCACTGCCACCGATAAGATTCCTTTCAGCTTTATGTCTTCTCTTCACTTTACAGCTCGACTTCTTTGCTTGCTCACTCCTGCCTGTAAATACCTCTCTTCTCCTTCATTTGAGGCATCGGGGATTTTCACCTTCTCTCTCTGTTCTGAGAAGCCCTGCCTGCTCTTTCTCCTTCTCTCTCTCTCTAAAGCTTCAGTGTTCTATATCCTATCTACCAGATCCTTGCAAACTTTCTAGGCAAGCCTTTCTCAAGTAAGATCTTTCCAATAATCTTTACTTTCTATTTTCAATGTGTGATTGTAATATACATAAGTTACCATCGTTCTGTCCGGACGAATGGCAACACTTTTCAAGTTTCTGCCTTTGTGACTTGTAAGTTATACACCGTCTGTATTTAGTTTGTAATTTGTATCTGTCCCTATACTTTACTTGAATCTGTATCAATAAAGATTGTTCATATTATGCAGTTTAAATTAATATTTAGTACTAAACTACTAAATAATACGTATACCACTTGGATACTAGTAGATATCTCTGTTATTTCCTTTATGATTATTCTTTTCACTTTTTTATACTACACTTCTCTTTTTAGATCATTGTTAGATTATAGCACTATGTTCTCAATGTTACTGAGATAACTTTAGAATTTAAGAATGTAATTAGAATTTTAGATCTTGGATGCTGTTTGGTATCAGAGCCACTAGAAATTATTAAATTATTTATTGTTAGACTATTTTTAGCTAATAATAGTGTTTATGAGATAAGATTATGACAAAATTAGTCATTTATATGGTAGTCCGAGTGTTAAGACTCATAGTCGCCCAGTCCTAAGACCATTTAGGCCAAGGAGAGCCGTTCAGGTCGTTCAAGACGTAAGAGGTTGACCAGAGTCATTATCCGTACCAATATATGGAAAATTTTATTAAAACCTTATCTAAAGAAGAAGTGGTCATTGAAAATATTGAACAACATATTCAAAACTGGAACATACCAAAGGTCCCAATAATAGACGTATATAAAAAAGGACTCAAAAACTTTTTATAGACATCAAAAAATTAGATCTATAGACAAATGAAAATCTTGAAAATAGACGGTCTAGATAATGTGTTGCAAGACGCACTATTTATGGGACTCAAACTTTTTTTTTTCATTCTCATACATCTTGACATCGAGATGATCTATTAGAGGGTTTTTCAACATTAAAACAACCTTTACGATAGATTTTTGAGGTGCATATGTATTTCTACATTTTAAGGTAGCAACCTTATATAAACTTTTCCCTTCTATTAGTAGTTAAAGGATAATTAATGCATCTTGTAGGTGATGTTACACACCATGTCGGTGGTGTCATTGTCCACTATTATTAATAAATGCTTTTGTTTCTATTAGGAATTTCTACTTTACCCTTGATTAATTACGTAAAATACCTTTAGACAAAAAGTTACTACACTATAAGATAAGGGTATCTAAGTGTCAAAAAATGTTGAAGATTTTAAGGGTACACTTTGTGGTGTAGCCTAACAAAACCCT